ATTCTTCTCTTTAGTCAGGTGAAGCTATGGTTCTGGCCTTCCTAGTGCCTCTTCTAGTTCACGAGGTTAAATATAATATTAAGCTTTTTTTTTTTATAGAGACTGGGGGTAGATCTAAAAGATCTAGTTTGGGATATGGGTGGGTGTTGTTGTTGTCTGATACAAATGTCAGAAAGAACAACATCAGGACCAGAATCTTCTGGTCAGTAAAAATTACTGTTGGAACTGGTGCTTGGAGTTGAGGCCAGGGGATGTTTCAAAAAGGAAAGGACTGGGCTGTATACTCCTTGGGACTTGGGTTTTTGTTGCTGTTGTCCAGCACAAATGTTGGAAAYAACAACATTGTGACYGGAAACTTCTTCTGGTCCATAAAAAATACTGGTCCATGGAGCTGAGGAGGCTGAAATTGAATATGTAGCATAAACTCCAGGTGTTTTTCCTCAAAGGAAGGGTCAGGGATGAACACAGGGGCTTCTGTTCTTGTTGTTACTATTGTCAGACACAAATGTCAGAAACAACAACATTGTGACCAAAAAATACTGCTTCCGGTCTGGAATAATACTGGAACTAGTGCATGGAGATAAGGCTACTAGGGAATCTTCTTCAAACTGAGTATGTAGCAAAGACTCCAACCATTGTTCTTCAGAGGATAGATCTGGAATGGATACTGAGGGCTTGTTGTTGTTGTTGTTGTTGTTGGAACATGAATGTCGGAAACAGCAACATCCTGACCGGAAGAGGATGTTGTATAGCCATAGCATTGAAAAAAAGATGATTCAATTGTACATTTGCAATTCTGTACATTTCTAAATTTATATCAATTGTTCTTGTTGATAGGCTATGGTCATGCTTGAACAGCACCATCAACAGCTCAAGGAATCATCAGAATCTGAGTCTGTTGCATCCTCTGCTCACCAAGGACAGGAGATCACAATTCTGTAGCAATGAAGAAGATCTTGTCTCTAGCGTCAAGAAACCATCTGCCAATGGTCCTATCCAAACTATTWGTGGATCAGTGTCATATCCAATGCTCTCAAGTTGATGGGAGGTACGATTACAAAGCAAAGGTCTTGAATGGCTGCTGTCTATGAGAATGCTCCTTCACAGTGTGACAAAGGAAACAGACTATTCTATTGAATGGATRGGACTTTAAAGCTCAGACTTTATGACAGGATTGCATACCTATGAAGACACTACTAGATGCAATATCATGGAGACCTATTATGATAAATACCCAGTCTACATTTCCAGCATGGGGAAGAACTCAAGTGACATGGAACAAGAGGATGGCTTCATTTATTCTGAAGGCTTTATTATTCAGCAAGAAGCCCATGGATTGCTCAGATGACAAGTAAAAGGCAGAAGTCTTTGAATGTCCTATGATAGATGCAAATAGTAGTAACAATTGAACTGTTCTCATCAAGATCTTATTCCTTGAGAAGAGTGAGGAAAAGAAGCCTTTGGCATTCAGCAATMAAGTATCAGATTTAGTAAGTCACCTCAACAACAAGCACCACTTGATGAGCAGCTCAAGCAGCAACAACACCAGCTTCTTGAAGCACAGATTGAGCAATAGAAAAGGCTTTAAGGGCAGCTTCTAGTAGAGCAGCAGTGACTGACATGGTAGAGGCAGCAAGAGCAGTTTCAGAAGTTTCAGCAGCTTCAGTAGGAGCAAGAGCAAACACCTAATAAGAGACAAAGAACTAACATTTTGCTTCTCCACAGCCTAATCCTCTCATCACCACCAGCATAGATGAATGACTACTAGCTGCTCTAGAGCAGCAGCTCTCTGCYAGAATAGTCCTCAGGAGCAGCAATGATGATTCTTTTCATTCAACTGACTCATCAATCAAGTCCTCTATAAAGAACCCAATTGATGCCTTAAATGAAGCCACACTTACTAGACAATCTTGAGCAGTATTTCAAACAATGGCAGGATGSACTGACAGTCAATTCAGTCAGAAAGCTACCAGAAATTCTGCTGGTAGTTTTTTGGTAGTAGTACTACTAGTAGTAGTACTAGTACTAGTAGCTTGATGATTGTGAGCAAAACTGCAACGGATACGTACTGTATCTGAAGTATACGTACGATACAAAGCTTTGTAGAAAGGAATGAGGGAACATACCATTCCTACGTACCTATCGTAAGGTACCCTTCCTAGGTATGTATCATAGGATCTATCGTAAGAGGACCGAGCATTGTAAAAGGTCCAAGGATTGTAAGAGGTCCACGATATCAGGAATAGATTACCTCGCACGGAACAAAGATGTCAGTAGATCAGAACAATAAGAACCCTGTGTAGATTTAGTACCGAGAGCTACACAGGATCAATTCATAGCTTCTGAAAGCTCACGTTGGAGCGCGATAATCTTAATCTTATAATTCAATTTTCATACACACTTAAAACATACTAAGAGTACACGTAATCTCGTGCAAAAACTTTCCTTAAAATATTAGTTACACATGATACCCATCAGATATCTGTTGACTGCTGGTTGTAGTACATATAGAGATACTATACAGCACTTTGAGGCATTTCTTCAGTCCTGCTTTATATTAACAGTACTCTACTGTTMATTAGACCATAAGACTAATCCAAATTGCCTGGTGGTTACAAAAAATATTAGAGCAAAATGCACAGTACAGTAAAAAGGTCAATTTGGAAGGGTCCAGATGCCCATCTTGTTTGCACGCTTCTCCACCATTATGGTGGTGCCAGATGGAACATTTAGATGACGTACTAGTGACTTCCCTCCTCCTGGGATGATCATCATTGGAGATTTTACTGCGTCAGGCACCATGCTACCAGGAGGCAGAAATGGAGCTGGCTCTCTTAAGAGAGCATCCATCCTGTGAACTTAGTACTAAACTTGATAATTAGGAGGGGGCTACTGGAATTTCAAAAWKTATTCTGGTA